ACTACAGCAGTGTTTCAAAGGACACACGCTTCAATCAGAATATTTTTTAGTTTGTTTTAAATATTGAGCTTCATATGAAGATGTTGTTTGGATTAATAAGCTATGTCTGAACTTTTTTTTTAGAAACAGTTGGGAGACTTCCTGTTCTAGCCAAGATGGACTAAGAGAGGCTAGCTGTAGCCTCCTTCCTAAAACAATAACAACAACAAAATTCTAACAAAATAGATGAAACAATGATTTTTAAGGTAAAAGGCAAAGAACAGTGCTCCCTGAGAAACGAGAAGCCAGGGAGGAGAATCTTATGATTGCCGTGCTTACTGTTTTAAGGGTTTATCAGCATTGGCACAGGAAGGGTAACTCAAGAAGAGGCAGGGGAGGTAACTCAAGGGAGACAAACTCTCTGAGTTGAGGAAACATTGAAAGTGTGGGAGAAGGAGGTGGCTACAGTTTACAGGACAGAGCACCTAGCAAGAGCTGCTGCACAGAGAAAGGTCTCCTGAGATCTGCAGAGAGTCCCACTCAAGAATTTAGTAGAGTACTGATGTGAGCAAACGTGGGAGGAAACTACCCAAGACTGGGTATTCCTTAACCCTAAGAAATAAATGGGTCTAAGCAATGACCAATACCTGCTAACACTACAAAACGAGAGGGAAGCAGTAGTCTTGCCCAGCTTTCTCCAAATGAATTTGGTCAAGTTCCTAGCCTTAATTACCAATTAGTAGGAAAGACACGGGGCAGAGGAGCTTATTAAACAACTCCATAGGAATGCATCAGCAAATACAAACTATGGAAAGCTCTACAGCACAAGCAATCCAGTGTCCTCAACGAATAAGGAAAAATAGAGTGGAAAATTGTAGATCAAAAGAGAAAAGAGATATCAACCAATTGCAATGTACGGATCTTATTTGTATTCTCTTTCAAAAAGTAAAATGCAATTATAAAAATTAATGAGACAATTGGGAAAATTTGAATATTGATTGTATATATTTGATAACAATAAGGAAATATTGACTTTTTAGGTGGTTCATTTTTTAGATGTGGTTCATTTTTTCAGTTAAAAAAAAGTCCTAACCTTTTAAATATACCTACTGAAATATTAAAGGATGAAATGATGCATGTCTGGGATTGGCTTCAAAATCATTTGGGGTGGGGGTGGGAAGTGGAAACAGGAGATGATGAAACAAAATCACCTATGAGATGATAGCTGTTGAAGGTAAGTGTAGTTGTATGGAGGTTCATTATACTATTCCCTCTACTTTTTAATATGTTTGGAATTTTTGTAATAAAAATTTGGATAAATAAACTTAAAAATACATAAATAAAAACAAAATAAATTGAGGCAGTGATTAAGGACTCAGAGGTCACAGCCCATGTTTCCGAATAAAAACAATTTCTCAGGCATAGAGATATCAGAGATGGTATGTTACAAGGACATTAAAGACTGCGATTTGTAGGAATCCCTTAATAGAGGACCCTGTTTTCTCCAACACTGGCTTTTAAGCAAGGATAAACCTTTTTTCTGAAAATAGATCTGGCAATATGCAAGTGGTTGACTACCTAATTGAAGACAGCCAAGGACATCAAAGGACACCAAGAAACTGGGTCTCTAAATGTGGTTGTTACTTCTTCCTGTTCTTTTAATAAGGCTGGGTTTATGAGAAGTCTAAGAGAGCACATGACTGCTCTCCTTCCAACAGCATCCTTGCAATAGAAGTCACCCAAGTCAATTTTGCCATTCCTACATAGCCTGTTTGCTTATTGCTCTCAACTCCACTTTCTTTTCACACTTTTCAGTTTTTTGGCTTTGAGGTGAGGGAGAGGAATCTTTGGAGATGTCCAAAATTTTTTTCAAGTCAAATAATTCATTAGAAAGTATGGCTAGGGGCCGGCCTGGTGGCATAGTAGTTCAGTTCACGTACTCCACTTTAGTGGCCCAGGGTTTGCGGGTTTGGATCCTGGGCGGGAATCTACACACCACTCATCAAGCCATGCAGTGGCGGCGTCCCACATACAAAATAGAAGAAGATGGGCACGGATGTTAGCCCAGGGCCAATCTTCCTCAGCCAAAAGAGGAAGACTGGCAACAGATGTTAGGCTCAGGGCCAATCTTCCTCACCAAAAAAAAAAAGAAAGAAAAAGAAAAAAGAAAGTATGTTTTATCTAGAATTTGTTTGTTTTGCAGTACGATGGACACTCTGAGTAGCTTGTCTAAGGTTCTGGCAAAAGAAGAAGTCTCCTTTCTCTTCTTAACTTACCTGAATCCTATCCATCCAAAAGGATATGCCCAAGTCCAATAAATGGAGTTCCTAAGAAGATGTGTTTTATATCTTCCATTTAAGAAATTCCTCATGGTCTTTAGTTCAATATTTTAAAAACAACCAATATCCTACACATAACTCATTTCTTATTTAAGATTACTGATTTTTTAAAAATCCATGTAAATTTCAAATTCTCGGTATATTTTTTAGGTAATTATTCTGTCTATAATGTTACTGTACTAGTAATATTATTAAAATATCATTATGCATCCTATTGTTCATTTTCACTAAATGCCTGAAAAGGCCATGGGAGCAGATTTAAAACCTGATGTGTGCTTTGGGAGCAGAATCAGCTTTGGGGAATCAAGGCCAGTGAGCATTTTTGTAGGCTGGTTACATTTTGGGAATTAGCTTCAAGGATGTATTGCAGAAATTTTAACTGAACTTTTCAAAATATTTATCACCATAGTTAGAACTTTCATTAGAGTGTTCTTCTATCTAGACACAGCCTTGTTCATAATGGCCATTTTAAAAGTTGCTACCCTAGGCTTATAGGACAATGTTATAATGTCTTCCCATCAACAGTTTTAAAAACATTCATCTCTGGGAAAATGTTATAAAGAAATTCCACTCCAATGATAATTCAAATATTAAAGTAAATATAAAAAATAATGTTATGTGATAGAATACCAAAGGATTAGAAAGCTTTTGCAAGAGGGTATTTTAATTTCTAATGAAAGCAAAATACTAGTACAGTAACCACTAGTCACATGTGGCCTATGTAAATTAAATTAATTGAATTTAAACAAAATTGCAAATTCAGTTTCTCCATTGCAATAGCCACATTTCAGGTGCTCAATAGCACATGCAGCCACTTGTTACCACACTGGACATGGCAGATATAGAACATGTCCATCATCACAGAAAGTTCTACTGAATAATAATGGTCTTTGTTAGAGAGACCACTACTGATGAATGGATATGTATATATCAATCTATTTCTATCAAGTCATTTTTCCTTTGGTATAGGAGGTTGAATTAAATTTAAATGATTTTCTGGAAAATCTATATTCTAATGTAAATAGTTAAAATTCTGCCACAAGCATTATAGTGTAGATTTTCTTTTTCCTCTTGCCACAAGAAGAATGGAATTTCAAAAGATTCTATTTCCTCAAGATAGGGAATTATAACATTAGCCAGTCTTCCCCTTCAATTCGCATTTTCTTTCTTTATAAAGATCTATTCTAACTCTGCTTACAAGTCTACCCAGCAACGGCCCAACCTTTATTTTGTGGCAAGGAATTCCTATTTTAGAGGGCAGTACTTCAGGCCTCAAATGCACAGTTGTAAAGTCTGTTAACTGGCATAAAAAAACTCACTTCCTAGCCATGCCTTTCTACCAGGTGAGGAGGCTCTTACTCTTATATCCTTCTAAAATTCCAGCAAATTCCTTAGTCTAACACAACCTCTCAGCTCTCAATTCAGAAAGATGCATTTTGTAACATATATCAAAAGACAGAAGCATGGAAATGCATAAACAATGCAAGTTGACACCGTCATGTGAGAAAGTGAAATCTCCTGCAGTCAGACACTGAATGTGAAGGTTCTGTCTAAATCAGGAGAGAAACTGTGAGCAAGATCATCTTTACCATTTACGCTGCAGAGGAAAGACAGAAAAACAAGAGTAACAAAAGTAAACGAAAATAATACGAAGAACTCGCAAACCACAGGGCTAAGCCAGTTGCGTTTAAATGCAACTCCTGGAAAACTTGATGTAAAGTAATATGTCTGTATTCAAAGACTAGATAAATCATATAGCTGATCCAGATGGTAAAAAAAAGAGATCTATAATTACATGAGTATACATAAGGTTTTAAGTATTTTCATGAAAAAGTAAACAATAATGAATAATCATTTGGTATTGAAAATAATTTAAGACTAGATGGTGCAAATATGAAAAAAATAATAAAGTCTAGGTAAAGAAATACTTGATGGAATATTCCAAATATTTTAGAAATGGATCTTTCTCCAGAATAACATGTTGTTTAGATACTAAATTTCCACAGTAGATTCCATAGTCCCTGAAAATTAACTAGAAACTTGTTAATTTTGTTAACTTGTTAATCAGCCACAGAAATGTACATTATTTTAGGGGCAAAAAAAAAAAAGAGAGGAATATGCCAATCTCCCAACCCCTTCTGCAGATTTTTGCATCTTGGAAATTATACTTGCTTTCAAGATTCTTTGCATTGTTTAAATATGTAACCTCATCTCTGTGCTCATTGGCTCACTCCCCAAGCAAGTCTAAAACCAAATAAATTGCTAAAAATGTTTACCAATAACATACTATTTTCCAAGCAATTTTTTCAAAATTTTTAAAATTTAAAAAGTTTTATTACGATTAGGTAACTACTCCTGGCGCAAGGCCTCCGAAACATCGTTTCTCAGACACTAATGGGTCTTGGAAAAGTTTGAAACTCGATTCATTAGGACTTTGAGTAGCTGTTTTGTTCCTAAGAATGAGAATTGATGGAGAGGTTGGGACTAACCACATAATTTTATGAAATATGATGAAAACATAAGAGTTTTGTTATGAAGCACATAACAATCAAGAACCTGTTTCTTTTTAGCAAGCTCCTAAAAAGTACCTCCCGTATAATTATTAAATAAAAACACTCACTTATTCAGTACTCAGCTAGCTTTTAAACTCTGAATAAGAGAAGTACACAGCGAGAGAGGTACTTACCCGGTTTCCTTGGATACTGGATGATGCCATTCAGGTCTATGTTTTTATCCGAAAGTGGTGCCCTGCGGAGAAATGAGGTTTGGTGAGTGGCTGTTTATACACAGCAAGTAAACAGGAACTTTATTTTACAAAGCATTTTTGATTTTGACCCAGATTTCTTTTTCTCATCACACCCAACCTTTGTAAACAGCAACAATATGGTAGATCAGGTACTTTGCACAACTCTTTTTTAACACCACTTAAGAAATCATAATTATGAAAGCAGAAGCTCAGAGTGCTTTGGTTAAGCACATAACCGCTTGGGCTGCTTTATATATCTTGACGATTATTTTTATGTCAGACGTATCAATGAACATTGCCTGCCTCTCCATCTTCCTTCAAAAGGAATTGTTCTCAAAGCATCAATAAAGAAATTAATCTAAAATAGTCACATAAATGACACATGTTCTTACCTTAACCAAAGAGTAAGAGAACTTCAGCTTTAGCCAGCTCCTGAACACCCAGGGTGTCCCCTGACATTAGCTGCCATTTTAAATGTTGTAGTGGGATCCTAGATTCCCAATAGTTTAAGTGCTATGAGCATACAATTTTGCCATTTGGTCTCTCAGTACTACATGCTTTCTAATTTTGGTAGCATGATTAATCCTTCCTATGTGATAAGTTTTAACCCTCTAATATTTCTTTGGATCGAAAAGAACAAACGAGCTACAGCAAAGAATGGCAACCAACTTGAATGCTTAACAATTTAATAACCTGAAATGAAGTAAGTGTGTGCTATGTTTCCATTAAAAAGTTTCCAGCCACAATTAATTGAACAAAACCTTGTCTTGTTCGAAGATTATTCTTGGAAATGTAATTTTAAAGTCTGTGTGAAATGAGGAAACTTACTTTTTTACCATACGAAAGCAATCTCATGTTGGGGGAATGATTTTTGGGTAGACTTCCGATTTGATATTTTGCATTTGAACCAGCAGCGTAGGGGCTTGGAAGGGGGATGGGAGGGGAGCAATTCTGTGTTCTGTTGCCAGCACTGACAAAGGTCTGGTTGTCAGTGATACCTTTACAGCTAAATTTACCCCAGAGTGACAGGAACAGGTGCACCTCGGCCTGCCAGACACTTGTGCACAGGGATCACGCATCTTACGGCTTGACGATCAAGGGGGGAAAGCCTGGGTCTTCATAGAAAAGGAGAGGAGGCAAACACAGCCCAAACTGGGGGGTTTCTCTTCAAAGCCAGCTGGTCTGGCTTTATTCTACAGGAATTTTTTTACCTGTCAGAGTTTGGACAACAAAGCCCTCAGCAGGTGCTGAGGGGTACAACTTCCTGGAGAAGCAGAAAGGCACTGGTGAGTTTCAATTGCCAAAACATATTTTTTAATCTCTAAAAGTTGATTTTGTTATCTTGGAAGAGGCACTGCTGAGGTCCCTGCATTCAGAAAGCTGATGAGACCATTGCAACCAGAGCCAACTAACTCAACAGTGGGTTTGCCTGCTATAGAATTAGAGCTGTTACCATTTGACAATTTTTTAGATTTAAAAAAAGAAGTCTTTTAAAGGAAATACTTTATATTTTTAATGTTGATCTCTTTCATTACTATCTTCAATATCTGAAAGATGAAGAATTAATTACATATATAATATTAGACTATAAATAAACACATAAATATCATTTCGTCTCTTTTTTTATCTAATTCTGTCATAATCTATTCTGAATGAAATGTTGTTTTTCAATAAATCTCCAAATAAATATGTGAAATGGTACATGCTCTTTTCAAATGTTTCATATGCTGGTATTTTTTATGTGTGCATGTGACAGCAATATGATTAGAGAGAATATGAAATTTTTATTTTTAATACATTTTTAAAAACATGAATTGCACAGAATATTTAATAATTAAAAGTGGCAAAATTTTCTCATAATTTTGCAAAGAGTTGCTTTAGAGAAAAATCTTTAGAATAAACAACCAAGATAGTACTAAAGCATGTTTTTACGTCATTGATTTCCAAAATTAGTACATCTATATATTTGGTATTTTTATTTTGTGAATTCGAAAGTTAAGGCAAAAATATTTTTTTCAGAATAGGATTTCAATTAATGCAAAACATGGAAAAAATGAGACCACATGCTAGGACATATTTTTAAAAAGTGATTCTGTTTCAAGGACTCATTCTTTTAACTATGTTTCACAGCATTTCTCTACAAATTGTTGTATTATAACAAATCGAAAACATTTATTTAAGCAAGTACGGATCTCAAACCTAGGAACTATACATAGCAAACATATGAAACCATTTTAATAACTAAATTCCATATTCACAAGCAACATGGGCTAATGAATGTAAAAGACACACAGTACACATTGATCAAGAATGCTATAAATTATTATGCATAAAATCAATTTTCTGGGCTGTGGGGGGTAGCATTGGTGCTTAAGAAGAGAAAGGCTCCTATGAATATAAATTACTAAGACTATGAGGCAATTGTTTTATTCTGATGATCCCATAAATAATTTTCAATCTACATGCTTAATACATAGTTGTATAGTGGGAAATAATAAGATCTGACTTTTTTTAATGACCACTACATCTAAAACAATTTTCAAATCAATGATGACATGGATATGCCACAAATTTATAACTATGATACTCTTTTAGATCGACCTAATTGCTGTTTAAAATTATGAAATATTTGTCATTTAAAAGTTACCAGAAATGATCCATCCAACCAAAAAACTAATATTTTTAAATGTAATCTTATCTACATTTTAATGAACTCATATTTTAAAAATTAAAACCCAAATCTGATTTTCATCATAAATTATTACATGTAGAATATGGTTCAGAAAATGAAAGTATATTTTATTTTTTAAAAAGGAATATATTGTGGTTTCAAACTGCTATTTTTGTGTGATATCTTGTCATCTTCACTGTATTGATTCTGGCACCCGAGTAGCCATGGTCCCTGAATTTTTAGATAAACTTCATTAGGCTCTTAAAGACTGAGTATATACTCCATGTGCTTGATAATTTTTTAACTTATCTGGTCTGTTAAATACTATATTCCTGAAGAATCAGAGCACTTGCTTTTAAAGATGACTAACTACTACAAAACTGAACATACACTTTTAAGTCAGCTTCAGAATTATATTTAAGTTTTTATGTGTATTACTATTGACTATAATTATTATATAGTTTGTCATTAACACTAAGTATAAGCAATACAAAAGCTTCTTCCAAACTACTTTTTAGGACTCTTGTGAATTATTTAAGTGTGACTTAACCTATTAGAAACAATGTTAGGTATAACCCAAATATTTCTAAATAACTAAAATTTATCATTCCAACCATGCCCTGAATTGTGGGCTTAATCTAAAATTCCATGATTTTTTTCTTTTAATTATGAAAAGAAGCTTTAATTCCTAGTTTGACATGCAGCTACGTTTGCCTTTCTGATAAAACTTCAACTTCTGTGTCACAAACATACCTATGCCAACTCCCTCAATGTATGGGAATGGTCTCTTTTAATAAGTCTTAGTCAAAAATTGTGGCTTAAAGTTGCAATGACTCACATGTGCCCTAACAGTTTAATTTTAAAACATGTGCATTTTAAACATTATTTGCAACACGTCTTCGTATCTTAAGAACAGGCTATTTACAGTGGAGAAAACCTGATTATTCTCCTGTTTCAGAAAGACATTTGATGAACATTTTGTTTACCTTATATATTCATAGGGAAAATCTTGATTCTCCCAGCAACCAACTGCAATAAATTATATTGTGAATATCAATCTATTCAGGACAATGAAGTTTCCAATTAAAATGGTTTACTTGTAAGTATTTAAGGAAACAAAAATATCTTGGCAGCTTTGTATGTGTCTCCTCATTGACCAACCACCTGACTGACAGCTGTCAACTGTCCGTGGGCCAAATGTAACCCAGTAAAGATAAAAATTACATATTACTCATCCCTGTTGATAATACCTGGTGCCAGTAGGTTTTCAAACAGGAATAACTAGACTGTAGACATAAAGAAGTAAAAAGGGAATCATTTCAACCACCTACAATTCCTCCTTTGTCATCAAGTGATTTCCCCTTCCTTTTCTTATTTATCCCACTTCTCTCAATGTCCATATCTCACAACTACAAAGAGTTAATTTCCTTAAAAGAACTTCAGATGCATGTAACAAGTGTGTGTCCATGAAAATATTGAGCAGCCAGACAATGATGCCCATGCATTTCTTTCAACCAAATCTTTTGAGCTCATGGAATCTTTGCATCATGGGAAACAGTCTTTGACACTTTTAACTCCTCATTTTAAAGAAATTGAAACAGAAGCACAAAAATGAAATTTACTCAAGGTCACCAATGTGAGGATGTAGATGCAGACTTGGGTTTGTTTCCCAACTTCATATCCAGTGATTTTTCTTTTTTCTGTTAGACTTTAAACATGTGGACTATCAAACTATAAGTAAAAAAGAGCACACGGAAAATTAATGTGAGTTACATTCCTCTGGAGAACCATTTTCAGTTATCAAACTTAAATACCTTATTAGAGAAATATACAGTTTTATGAAAGCATATTAAAATGTAGTTTAAAAAAACAGCATAAACATGTTAAAATATCTATCGTATAAATTCTTTTTTATATTCTCTTTACTATTGAAACTAATTTACAAACTGAAAATATTTAAGGTGTATATGAAATAGTAGAAATACAAAATAATCAATGGCAATAATACATGTTTGGAAGATGCACGCAGAAATCAAAAGTTCAGATGGAGCAATTTTTTTTGTTAGGGGATAATTAAAAATACCAAATACACCAAAGTATAAGCACATGTGTAGTACTCAAGTGTAGAATATATTAAACAGTTCATATAACAGTCATATAACTGACTCAACAACTAACTAGCTTGTGTGTGTGCGTGTGTGTGTGTGTGTGTGTTAATTACCAAATCTCACTGGATCCCAGAGACCTCATGAGCAAGTGTATTCTAACAGCTCCAAAAGTCTATGATGCAATAAACCTATATTAATATAAGTATCTGATATGTATTCAAATAATTATTAATTATATGAATAAACAGTTTATATGGCTATAATATAATTTGTTAATAATGCACAACATACTGATTCAGTCAGGGTCATGAAAATATATTCAAACTAAATACTTAATTCTTTTCTGACCCTCCAGAAAAGAAATTGTTTAGGAGATATCTATCACATTCTGAATTTAAAAGAATTTATCTTAACTCTGGACTTTGGAGCAGTGTTTGCTGTGAGAAGTGTTTGCTTTAAAACCCAGACATGAAAATGAATAAAAGAAAAAGAGGGCAGGGAGCTTAAAACCTTGATCTAAGAGATGGGAGAAAATTGTGGACAGGGTTTTCCTGCAAGGGATTGGTCTAAAATAATCTCCAACAGCTCTATGATACCATTTAGCAACTAAATTATATATATAAATTTACAAAATGTATTTGCTTATTCCTTTACATTTAGTCCAAATCAACATTAGTCATTAATCAGCAAACCATTTAACAATATGCAA